TCCCTCCATATGGAGGGGAGCCAAATGCAAGACAGTTGTGATAAAATATCTGCAAAAGCAGATGAACAGTAGTCGGCTGCCCAAAAATGCCATTTTGGCAAAAGGGAGTGCCGACCGGCAACAAAGAATGCCGACCGGCAATACAGTTTGCCGATGGCAGCAAAACACCAACCGGTGGCCCCTGGCCATGGCCGGTGATGTGTGGGGATGCCTCACAAGGCATTCCCTGCCTTTCCAAGGCAAAACACAAGTGTTTGGTGCAAAACCAGACACTAAACAGTCGAGTTCGGAGATCCTGAGGCAAGGCGCGCGAGCCGAGACCTCCGGGAACTCCAAACGAACACAAACATGGATGATCACCGGGTGTTCAGATGGTGACGTCCAAGTCTTGAGGACGGTCAAAAATGGGGTGTCTACACGGATCCGTCCCATGTATTGGATTGGACCGACTTAGAGGTTGATGAGGTTGCCTCGTATGAGGAAAGGCCAGTTCGGGTCTTGGATAGGCGGGATCAAGTCCTGCGTGGCAAGACCATTCCTTTGGTAAAGGGTTTGTGGAAACATCATGGCGTGGAGGAAGCCACTTGGGAACGTGAGTTGGAAGTCCGCGAGAAATATTCGAACTTGTTTGTTGATGTGTAACCATGTATTGGTAATTTTGTAATATCGTTGAACTTTAAGAACATTATGTGTGTCTTAAGTTGTAAAACATCGTGAATGTTTTGGTTAATGGAAATTTGTTATAAAATTGCATATGTTCAATGTATTGTGTAATGGAAGTTTGTTTTAACATTGCGTATGTTAATGTATTGTGGAAATGCAAGCATAATATTAATGTTACATGTGTTAAGAAATTGTGGGAAACAGGTTGAAACTGGTAATTTTCAAAGGAATGCCTGTTGATAATGCAGGCTGTTGTGTGTAATGTGAAATGCCTCTTGAAAGAGATGGGATGGACCGGTAATGGGCCAGATTGTTTAATATTATGTTGTAATATTGTTGAGAATGGAGAAAACCTATTTTTGAAAAGCTTGTGTTTAATTTTGGGGATAAAATTCTTTAAGGGGGGGAGGTTATAGCGATCCCGGTTATCCCTTTACTGTTCTGTTGTATTCCGGACTCGGTTCCGTGAAGTTGGTAATTGTATCTATCTTGTTGTTGTCCTTTAATTCCGCTTGATTGAGTTTTAGGATGTATTGGGCAGAGTTGTTACAGGTTGGTTAGGCTTTGGTTTCAATTCTTTGTTGCCCAGTTTTTAGGAGGTCCGGTCGAGCGGGTCTTCTTGCGCTCGAGCGGAGATTACACGCTCCTAGTATTTTGGTGCTCTGCAGAACTTCTGCAAGCATGTTTTTCACGCTCGAGCGGGTTTCTTTACGCTCGAGCGGTGGCGCTCGAGCGGGTACTCTGGCGCTCGAGCAAGTAGTACTTTTTGGTGTAAGTTCTAGGAGGGGGAAATCCACGCTCGAGCGGACTGGTTTTCGCGCTCGAGCGGATGTACTTTATTCTTGTGTCTTGGTGCTCGAGTGGGCCTTCTTGCGCTCAAGCGTACCTAGTTTTTTGTTCTTGACGCTCGAGCGTTGTGTTCTCCGCTCGAGCAGGAATGTCGTATATCAGTTGGGAGCTGGGCGTTTTAAATTCACTTTTTACATTCTCTCTCTCTCTCTCTTACTTTCTAAAAAGACATTTTAAGAGTTCCTCTCTGAGTATGACGGTTGATAGAATACATTAACATTATGTATTGATTGATTGTGTATATGACCCATGTGTATATACGTTGTGTATATGGGAGGAGATAGATGATGTACTCCACGGTTTAGGGGAAGATAGGGGATGGACCTCTAAACCAGATGTTGTTTGGGAGGAGATAGGGGATGGACTCCACTGATACAGCTCATATACTTGTCAGTTAATGTGTCGATACAGCTTATATGCTCATCTATGGAAGTGTTGATACAGCTCATATGCTTATCTCTGGAAGTGTTGATATAGCTAATATGCATATCTGTTGAAATGTGGATACAGCTTGTATGCTTATCTGTTGAAATGTTGATACAACTAGTAGGTTTATCTATTGCAAATTGAGAAATGTCTGATATGAGTCACTATCTCATATAAGTGGTTGGCCAGGTTCTGAGCCATTGATGTAAATTGTGAAATTGATAAGAAATGGAAACTAAAATGAAACATGAACATAGAGGTCATGAAATGGAAATGGATTATGAATTGATTTATGGAACTTGAACATTTATCAATTGCTAACGTCTTAGTTATTGCTCATATTGTGTTTAGCATATTTCTACTGGGCGTTGGCTCACCCTATATGGGATATTATTTTCTAGTACAGGTAGTATGCCACCTCCAAGGACATAGCTTGGATGATGATGAGAGTTGGAGACTCTTTTGTTTATTTTGTTTGTATTACATATATATCAAGCCAAGGGCTTATTTTGTGTAGAGTTAGTACTCTTCTTTTGTGTAGCCAGGTGTTGGCTTGGAAAGCTGTAAGCCCATATGGCATTTGCTTTTGTTGTTAACATGTAATACTATTGTAAGAACTACTCTGATGAATATAAATGGTTGTCTTCTTTTATATAATTGCATGTCTAGTGACAAGTTTTATGTATTATTTTGAGGGCGTCACAGGTGGTGTGCAATCTTCAACAATAATAATCAATCTACTTCGGAGAACAATCAATGACATTCGCGTCGATTGCATAGATAGATCGAACCCCCTCCTCTTTATACTCTTTCCTCTTTCTTTCTCCTTTGTTTCGCCCTTTTTCTCTCTAAAAAAAAGTAAGAACCAAAGATCCATTGTATAATTTTTTTTATTTGTTTTTAATATTTTGGTGTTTGGCGCTCAAAATTTTTATTTTGGCACTATATATATATTTTTTTAATGGTACCTTTCATGACAGAAATTGCATGTTGTGGAAAGTATAATATTTTATACGATTGACTTTTTGTGCGTCATGAAAAGTGCAATTTTTAACAACTGATTTTTTGTGCATCGTGAAATGTTCAATATTTTTAACAGCTGGTGTCTGCTTGTCGTGTATAGTTGATGTATTAACGTCATGCCATATGCACGTCGTAGAAAGTTTTATTATTTACGGCTAACATTGCAAGCCGTAAAAAAATCTTCATTATTAGCATTCACAACCTATGCAATAGACACGTCGTGGTTGGGAAATTATTTACGACAAACAAAAAAAGTAAGTCGTAAAAGTTAGAAACCATGGCTTGCATTTACTGTATTTCGTTAATGTGGAGCTGTAAAAACTCAATTTTGTTGTAGTGTTAAGAAAAAACTAGCGCTATTTATTAAGACTCGAAACATTGTTGGACTAGCATGATCAAACCTTTGATGTCACAATAATGCAAGAGTGGTGCTATTGAGTTGGGTTCAGTGATATTGTGCATGATTAGAAAAAAATAAAGAAAAGGCAAAGGCTTTGTTTGTAGAAACCTCTATGAATAATTTGATTGATAAACTTTTCTTAAACTACAAAGCAAGTGGAATCAAATATAAGCCTACAATATTATCTAGTAAATTGTTGAACAACTTATAAATTATAAGAGATAAAGGTTTATTGGATCAAGAAAAGGTTAGGGGGACTTACGTATATGTCCTACTAAGTGAACTTATTGTCTAATAGATCCTATGATAATTAATGATATTTTTTATCATACACTATTAAAAAGCGTCACTAATTTTTAATTTTTAGCGATAGTTTGAAAATTTTGTCACAAAAAAATGTCACTAATTGCAAGTTTTAGCGACAGTTTAAAAAAATGGTCACAAAAAAGTCACTAATTATTAACTTTTAGTGACATTTTAAAAAATTCGTCACAGAAAAACATCATTTATTGTAAGTTTTAGTGACAATTTATAAAATTCGTGATAAAAAAAAGTCACTAATTGTTAATTTTTAGCGACGTGTAAAAAATCATCATAAAAAATTATTTTTAGCGACGATTATATTAGAATTTATTTTCAATAGGACTTGATGGGAATTAAGTCTAACTATTAGGACCTATTGGTAGTTTACCCAGAGAGGGTTATGCCAGAAATTTGTTAAATACCTTTACCAAAGTGAGAAATGGAAAGAGAGTTCATGTTACCAACCTAAACCGAATCTAAGCCGTTGTATGGAAATATGATCCACACCATTTGTAAAATGGAAAATAGCCCTAGAATCAAATAACCAAGGTACAAGATCAATTGGCACATGAGAAGAGTTGGGAGGATTAGAAACAATATAAGAAGATGAAGAGAAAACACTAGACACGAGTTGTGCTACATATACTTAAAGTTATAATAGAGGACTCGGTAAATTAGAACCACCTCTAAATAATGAAAATGACTGAAGTACATGAGGTTGATAATACAAAATGAGACTATAACAACAATTCATGACTAAAATTATATATATATATATATAAAGGTCATGTGATGACAAACCTAAGGGCTATCAATAAAACCATTAAATTCTAAAATATTTAAAATCTCGATACACTCTTCACATATTCCAAAATATTTTTATACATTTCAATATACTTTTTGCACAATTTTTTCAACAATAACAACGCCCCTAAGGGCTACTTTTAGCATTTTCCTATATATAAATACCAAAAATCTTAGCCTACATCATCTTTACAAAATCCATTGGATGAAATAAGTCTGCTGCGATCATTACTGTAATGCTACTAAACTCATATAAGTGGCAAGCATTGAAACGAAGTACCCACCAGAGGAGGCCCCCAAAGCCTCAGTTTTTCAAGCTTGTATTTCTCAACCCACCACTCAATAATTCCTTTTACAATCATTCTTTCCCCCTCAACTAACTAGCATGTTCCCGCACTCGAAATGGTAAGGACTGCAAACTTGTGAGCAAGAGTGTGAAGGACAATTAGCCTTTCTTCAGGCAAACCAATACAGTTTGGGCATTCAGAAGATTTGTCCCAAAAATCATTAGCTTGGCCACTACATCCATGAGCTAAAAATAGAACTGCCTTCGGTGAATCGAGTATTTTCCATATAACATATGTTCCATTCCTGAACTCCACATTCGGGTTAAATTGAACGCACTCGAAATGGTAAGGACTGCAAACTTGTGAGCAAGAGTGTGAAGGACAATTAGCCTTTCTTCAGGCAAACCAATACAGTTTGGGCATTCAGAAGATTTGTCCCAAAAATCATTAGCTTGGCCACTACATCCATGAGCTAAAAATAGAACTGCCTTCGGTGAATCAAGTATTTTCCATATAACATATGTTCCATTCCTGAACTCCACATTCAGGTTGAATTGAACCAATGATTCAAAACTATTCCACTTTTGCTTTACTAGCCCAACTGAAGAATTGGGTTTCTCTCCACCATTTCGAAACAAAAGTATCAAAGCCATGAGAAATAGAATTAGAACTGTAAACAGTACAGGCACCCGAAAACCCCCAGTACCGTTCATTGACCTTGATAATTTGTTTCCATGCCTAAACATTGCTGAAAATTTGTAAAAAAAAAATATATATATATATTATATTTCTTCCCAAATCCCTTTCCATGAAGCTGATAAAAGTTACAAATTCCATCAAGAAAACCATGAACACGAAAGCATTTGATTAGAGTTGAATTTATCCACCATTTGATTACTCAATCCAGTTAAGTGATCAAAGAAAATCATCCCATTATCATCATCGTCTACACAAGGAAAGAAACATATATATGATAAGCTTCTAGCAATTAATCTAAAAATTAGAAAGGAAACTCAACTTCTGTTATTCAATTCTTATCAAACGAAACGAAGAACTCTTCTATGGAGTTTTACAATAAGAGAGAAAAAGAAAAGAAGAAGAACAAAAGAAGATACAACCTCCCCTATCTGTAACTCTCTCCCCCCTTATAATCCCTTTCCCGTAACAGATCCTGTAACAAAATAACTACCCCACACTCACAACTGCCTAACAGAGTAACTACCTACAACTGCCTAACAGAACAGTTCCTATCATTCCCCACCCCCTTAAAAGAAAGCTTGACCTCAAGGCTGGAAATAAGGAAAACGCTGCTGCAAGGAGTACCAAGTCTCCCAGGTGGCATTCTCAGGAATAGAATTAGACTAGTCGACCAAAACCATGGTAAAAGGCCAACCATGTTTCTTGATCAGTTTTCTATCCAAAATCGCAATGGGTTCCAATTGTAACTGGCCATCAAGACTGGTAGGTAGAAGGGAAGGTTGCACAACAATACCTTGACCCAGTTTAGGCTTCAATAAGGAGACATGGAAAACTGGATGTAGCTTGGAGGAAGATGGCAAATCGAGTTTGTAGGCAACAGGTCCTAGCTTCTGCAGGATTTGGAAAGGACCAAAATACTTAGGAGCTAGTTTGGCATTCCTCCGTAATGCCAGAGAAACTTGCTTGAAAGGCTGAAGTTTAAGGAAAACCCAATCGCCAGCTGAAAAAACTCGCTCAGACTTGTGTTTATCCACTTGTTGTTTCATTCGATGCTGGGACTTTCAACAACTTTAAAATAGCAGCTCTATCCTGCAACAAAGTATCAGCAGCTACCACAGCAGTATTCCTGGGAATATAATGGTTCAAGTTGGGAGGGGTTTGACCATATAAGGCCTCATATGGTGTGACTCCCGTAGTGACATGGTAGGTAGTGTTATACCACCATTCAGCGAGAGATAGCCATTTGGTCCATACAGTAGGTCTGTCTCTTGCTAAGCACCACAAGTACCCCTCAAGGCATCTATTAACTACTTCAGTTTGGCCATCTGTTTGGGGGTGATAAGAAGAACCCATACACAAACTAGTACCCTGCAATCGAAATAATTCCTTTCATATTTTACTAGTAAACACCGGGTCCCGGTCTGAAACAATAGAAAGAGGCATCCCATGAAGTTTAAACACATTATCTAAGAATGCTTGAGCTACTGCAGTAGCAGTGTATGGATGGGTTATGGAAATGAAATGAGCATATTTACTAAGCCTATCCACAACCATATAGATCACAGTTTTATGCAAAGAGCTGGGTAACCCTTCAATGAAATCCATTGAAATATCACTCCAAAGCTTAGTAAGAATGGGAAGGGGCTGTAACAACCCAGGTGCTGCCACTGTTTCATACTTATTCCGCTGACATACATCACATTCAGCCACAAACTAAAGTACATCAGATTTTAGGCCTTTCCAATAAAAACCTTGTTTGATTCTTATATAAGTTCTCTCTCCTCCTGAATGCCCACTAGTGGGAGTAGCATGATGTTCCTTGATGAGTGTGGTCTTTAGTTGAGGTGAATTACCCACTACCAACCTAGTTTTGTAATAGAGCATTTCATGCTGCCAAAGAAAATGAGGATGCCTGGTTGGATTCTTAGTCAAATCTGCGATAAGTTGTAGGATAGAAGGGTCTTGTTCCCAACTAGTTTGAAGATCCTTAACCAATGGCAGAGGACAACAGAGAGAGAGAACATACTGCTCATATCTTTCTCTCCTTTTCTGGACAAGGCATTTGCAGCGTAGTTAGATTTTCCACTCTGGTATACAATTTCGTAATCAAAACCCATGAGATAATGCCTCCATTTGGTAACAGCTAGAACTATAGCCAAGAATTCCTTCTCATATGTAGATAACCCAAAGCTGAGGCCACACAATGACTTACTAAAATAGGCTATGGGCTATCCCTCTTGCATCAATACAGCTCCCAGCCCCTTAAAAGCGTCACATTCTAGCACAAAGGTTTTATCATAATTGGGTAAAGCCAATACAGGAGCAGTAGTCATAGTTCTTTTCAATAGAACGAAAGCCTGTTTAGCATTCTCTGACCATTTAAAGGCATCCTTTTTAAGCAATATAGTAAGGGGTTGGCTGATCTTGCCATAGTCTTTTATGAACCTTCGGTAATAGCCAGTCAAACCCAAAAATCCTCGAAGAGCTTTCAAAGATTGAGGTCTAGGCCAAGTAGACATAGCATCTATTTTAACGGGGTCTGCAGCCACACCAGAACCAGAAATAATATGCCCTAAATACTCCACTTGCTACTTCCCAAAAGCACACTTGGACATCTTAGCATATAGTTGATGAACTCTCAATTTTTCCAAGGTCAAAGTCACATGAAACATATATTCGGCCCAGCTCTTACTGTATACGAGGATATCATCAAAAAATACCAACATAAACTTCCTCAAAAATGGCCTAAACACATCATTCATCAGGCTTTGAAAGGTGGATGGAGCATTGGTCAAGCCAAATGGGATGACCAAAAATTCATAGTGGCCTTCATGCATTCGAAAAGCTGTTTTTTCAATGTCAGAAGCATGCATCCGGATTTGATGGTACCCAGATCTTAAATCCAACTTAGAGTAGAATTGAGCTCCATGCAACTCATCAAGTAATTCATCAATCATGAGAATAGGGTATTTGTGCTTAATAGTGTCCTTATTTAAAGCTCTGTAGTCAATACACATTCGCCAGGTATTGTCCTTCTTTTTGACCAAAAGGACAGGTGAAGAAAAAGAAGACACTCTGCCTTATAACCCCTGAGTTCAACATCTCTTTTACTATTTTCTCAATCTCATTTTTCTGAATATAAGGATATCGATAAGGCCTGATATTTGAGGGATGACTACCATCCTTGAGAGGTATTTTGTGATCATATGATCTACTTGGAGGTAAGTCACTGGGTTCCTGAAACACATCAGTATAATCATGTAAGATTCTATCAAGATCCAAATGAACCTCATGGTCAACTTCCACAGAATTGGAATGTAGGCTGCAAAGATAAGCTATGAGTCCTTGTGGTTTTTTCTGCATCAACTTCTCCATTGCCTTAACTTCAATTTGCTATATCTCCACTGTTGCACCACCTCGCAGCGCATGTTTTTTGCCAAATGCAGTGAATTCCATCTTCAAATTCTGAAAATCCCATAACACCGGTCCCAAAGTAGATAACCATTGGACTCCCAATACCATGTCACAACCCCCCAAAGATAACAATCTCATGTCAGTTGTAAAAATTGTACCCTGCATAACCCACTGGAAATCCTTCACCATAGCATTGCTTTGTAACTTGGTACCATCAGTTACCACCACTGTTAAAGGATTGGTGAATTGGATTGATGCTCCAGTTCGTTTTGCCATTACTGGGTCCAAAAAATTGTGGGTACTACCTGAATCAATTAATATAGTGACCATATTCTTCTTAACCTTTCCTTTAATTCTCATAGTCTTATAAGAGAAAGAACCCGATAGGGCATGAACTGAGATTTGCAATTCTTCTTGCACATTTTCTTTGTCCATGTCTTGCACCACCTCCTCAAAGACATCTTCCTCATCTTCAGCTTCGAGCATAAAGAGTTGCTTCTTCTTGCAAACATGGCCTTTGAAATATCTCTCGTCACATCCATAACATAATTCCTTCATTCTTCTCTCCTCCAATTCCTTCTGTGTCAGTTTCTTTACAGCAGTTACTGACTCCACAGGTTTTGAAGCTAGCTCCATTGATTTGCTACTTGTAGGAAAACTGGTATTGTAGCTTTTGGAAGAAACGCTATTCTTCTTAGCTAAGGCCTCAATTTTGTGTTTTTGTAACCTTGCTAAACCCATGGCTTGGTACACCATGCATGCTTAGCATACCTACCTTGTAATGCCTCTGTTTATTGTTGGTTTTGGTACACCATGCATGCTTAGCATTTGGCTTGACCACGTAATCATAATAGCTTTTCAAAAAAACAGCTTTTCGAACGCATGAAGGCCACTAACTGTTTTTGTTTTTGCTTTACACACACATACGATTACGTGGATTCCATGCGACTACACTAATCTCTTTATACATTTTGATATAAAATATATTATAATATAAAATATAAAAAAAAAATTCAATCATACGAGTAATGAATTATGGATAAAAATGAATTCAGGTGTTATATACAAATTAACATTGGGTACTTTTTCATAAATATCTTTTTATCTACTTATTTTCTATTTAGTTTATATTATTTTCTTATATTTCAATAAGTCCTATGAGTGACAAAGTAACTAAAATACCCTAATAATAGTTACATTTACAGTGTGAATGTTTACAGAGTTAATGTGAATGTTTACACCATCAATGAGAATGTTAGCATGTCAATGTGAATATTCACATTGTCAATATGAATGTTAGCATGTCAATGTGAATATTCACATTGTCAATATGAATGTTTACACTGTCAATGTGAACATTCACACGTCAATGTGAATATTCACATTGTAAAATATAAATGTTCACATCACTAAATTGCAAAGAGTTCAAAAAATATTTGTAAGTGTAGAAATATCTATAAAATACCTTAAATATGAGAATTCGGATTTGATAGATCAAATATTCAAATAACAGGATTTATTAGAATACAAGAATATCTTATGGACTAACTGGAATATAAACACTTGAAAATGAATTTTCTAATAAATCTCTCATTAAAATTTTAAAGAAAATCATTATTTTCATATTTTTTTAAACTTAAAAAAGGAAATAAGTGTAATTTATTTATTTATTTTATGGGATGGGAGACTCAATTTTTAATATTATTCTCTGGTTACAAAAAATAAAAATAACCCTCCATTTTTGGATGGGGTGATGATATAAAAGAGAAAAATTTTAATCTTTTATTTTAAAATAAAATATTTATAAATATAATTTATATTTATAAAAATATCATTGTCACAAAATTTTAAAGATATTTTTTGTATTAATTTTTACTGTGGATAGAAAATTCCTTTTGGGGGTTAAGTTTGTAGATTATTCTCAACCTTCTATCATCCCCTCGGTGCGTCATGCTACTGGAAATTAAAGGGGAAATAACAACATACTGTAGTTTTAGAAAGAAAAAAATATATATATAAATTAGTGAGAAAATTTATAAATTTTAATAATTAAAATGTTATACTTTTCTATGACTCTGTATTTTTTTTATTGTTATCACTAAATTTTAATTTCCCAAAATTATTTTTATTAGTCAATATAATGGGATTTAGTATTTTTTTTGTTTGATTTATGAGGGACAATAGGATAAATGTCATATGTTGACCGATGTAAAGAATTGTTTCAAAAATATCAAATAATCATTTTATTCTATGAGGGAAAGCATTGTATGGTAGAGAATCCCCAAAATTTAGTTCCATAAAATTTAAGTGGCACCTAGAATTGCTAATATAATCCCCAAACAATTATAGTATTAACTAGTGTTAGAAATTGGGCGCCCATGTGGCATGATCCTTAGAACCTTTTGAACCTCATCCAAATGGGTTTTGAATTTGAATTCAAACCTATTTGGATAGCCACTCAGGATATATATCTATCATATCATGATATGGATAGATGATATAGATATCAGATATTATCTCATTTAACCAATGGATAAATGAGATAAATAGATTATATATCTGATATATGAGATATGGGTGATTAAGTGGAAAAAAACGTATGTTTGAGTTTTTTTTCCTTATACTGACTTTCTCCAAAAAACAACGATCAAAGCCATTTACACTGTGATTTGTGTGGGTGATATTCACTATTGTAATATCACCCTATTACTGGGTTGATTGATCAGATTTAGGAAACATATGATTTACCCATGAGATCTTTCAATTCAAACTCTAATTGAAAGGTATGCCCATAATATTTATTCCGTTGCGTTATACTTTGTTTACAGATATTGATTGGGGCAACCTAGTTGAGATTATAGTTCTTTATTATAATGTTTATAGTACTATTCCTTCATTCTTTTGTCTTTTCGTTTATTAATGCTTGATTCATAATTAATAGTTTTGCTCATACAAAAACAAACCCAACTGCATCTTTGAAAAATGCAGCAAAACCATACCCTACCCATGTTACTTCCACATGCATATGATTATTTAAGAGTATATTCATGCTTCAGCGTCTCACATAGTACCTACGAAGAGAGTGAAAAAAGAAAAACTATATACTTTTATTTTGCTAACCACCATCGATCTCTCTCTATTGGATTCTTCTTCAAATTAAATCAGGATTGATTGCAAGTTGACCGGCATCCCTAGAAATAAAAATTCATGAAGTTGTACCAAGTGGCACATATTTTATCTGTATTACCTTTCACTAATTATAAATATATATGTATATATATATTTTATTATTTTTTAAATATTCAATATAAATATAGTAAATTTTATTATCAAAATCAATTTAAAATGTGCTATAAGACATATATATTCTATCCATATATAAAAATTATTTATGTTCATGACTTAATTCACTCACATAATTACATAAATTCTTTTTGAATTTTTTTTGTTAAATCTCATTTTTTATTTTAATTTTTTACTCTTAAACACAAGTATAAAAGAGTCTCATTATTAAAAGTGAAAAAATGACATAAGAAATAAGTCTGTGTAATATTATTATTATTTTTTTCAGGTATCATTACTATTAATGGAAAATAATTTTCACTTTCACCAATTATACTCAAAGGGAGAAACTTATCTCTGGTATTTAAAGTAAATTAATCTAATATTTATAATCTTATGATTCTTCATTTAATAAGATAAACAACTATAATTTATTTTGGTTTGTAATAAAATAAATAGCTAATATAATATGTGATAATGTTTGAAAATGTTTAGTTTACTCCAATTTCCAAATATTTTAAGGAAAATGTTTGGGACCCCCTTTGGGTATGACACCCACACTTCCAAAGTGACCATGGCCCTCCATGTATGTGTGGTGCCTAGTCATGTATGTGTGAGGTCCACATCATGAGTGGTTTAGATTTGTAGGGGTCTTGTGAGAGTCTTATGGGAGTGAGGGTCTTAATCATTACTCATAGTTTAAAATAAAAAATAAAAAGTAAATTTTAGATGACACAATTCGAATGGACTCTATTATTTTAAATCAATCTAACTAATTACACAGTGAGTCATTTTAAGATTCAAATCACATCCAATTATTTAATTTCGACAATTCAACCATAACGACCCTAATATTAATCAATCGATATATATAGATTTTTCACATTAAATTATTTTGTTATGAGCCATCAATTGTGGTCATGCCAGCAAAGCCAGCCCCACCTTCCCTCTCTCCGACTCTAGCTTCACACTCCACAAAACATCAACTAGCACAACATTTTAAAATCGAAAGAACATGAATTGCCACACCAAAAACCAATTCTCTCGTGGTTAAGCAAGAAACTTCTTCTCACTAGACCCAATATACCCCAACCTAGGGCACTAGGATTACTTTGAGAGGGTAATTTTTGGAGAAAATTGGGTCAAGCTGTGAGATTGACTTTGTGGCCCAAAGTATGAAGGACTCAGTAAAAGGCCGTAATGTTATTCCGGCCCAGAAGAGGTATAGTTACTCCGGCTCAGGAGAGGTATAATTACTTCG